GCCTGACCCTTTCTCCTCATCTGGGGATCACTTATTTCTTATTTCCCAAGGAAACAATTTATTTCCTTCTGTCCCTTCCATTTCTGTTTCCTCTTTCCTGTGGGCTGATCATTAGTAGAAATGCCTTTGCTCTTGTGACTCTGAGCCCCGGAGGCCGGCAGCAAGGACTATTTCCTTCATGAGTGAAGACACAGCAGCTGGCACAGAGTCAGGCCCGTGGTGGGCTCTAAATAAATGCCACTGAATGAATTCAATAAATGAAGAATGGATAGCTACACTCAGTGAGCTCTTTTCTTCCAGTTGGCTTTAGGGACACAACTATCTATTATTTTGATTGTGTGAAAATACAGTATCATCGTACGTTTTCATCTTTAAAAATTTACCCTGTAGTTTCTTATTAAATGGAAAGTATAATCCCCACTTTTCCTTTCTTCCTTAGTAAAGAATCCATCCCAGTTTCAAAAGCTGGTTGCTACCCAGCCAAATGACCGTATTTTCTAGTGTCCTATGCAGCTAGGTACAGACGTGTGAATAATTTTGCTCAATAAGAATTAAAGAGAAATGTGGTTGACTTCCAGGAGGTTTTCTTAAAAGACAGAAGATACGTTCCTTCTTCCCCTTTCTCTAATCTGCTGTCTGGAATGCAGACACGAAGGTTCATGCATTAGCAACCATAACGGTCCAAGAGGAAGAGGTTGTCAGTCTAGAATGGTGAGCAAGAAAGAGTCTGGGCCCTTGGCAGCTTTGTAGAGATGCCCTATAAGCTGTAGACCTTTTTTTCAGGACTTATTTTATGGGAGGGAAAATAAACTTCTATATTCTCTGAGCCTCTGTCATTTTGCATTTTCCTCTTACATTCAGCCCCACTTAATCTTCCCAGATGCAGTGCTTGACACACGCTTGCAGGGGCCCCCTGGATGAATGATCCTTTCTAAGAAAACGTTGAGCAGTGATAGGTAATTTTACATGGGGAGGGGCAATATTTTTCCTCAACGCATATCTTATATATTCAATGTGCAGGCAGAAATCTCCGCCACGATGTGTTTACTCAGACCCTGGACAAGATGAGTTCTGTCTGAAAAATGTTTGAAATAGGAATTGCTCCTTGGCTGCCTCAACATAAATCCCTTGATTATTAAGAAAATGAAATGAGTGCTCTCAGGTCACTCAAAATGATGGCGATGCTGGTTGCATCTCCAAAGTAACCGAATCAACAGATGCAAAGGTTAGTCCTGTTACTCATTTCACTGCTGGGCAAATGCAGTCATTTTATTTAGCATAATTATCACTGAGCTGCTCCTTCTGACAACAATTAGTCAACAAGTTCAGCCGCACTAGTCTGATCCTCATTAGAGACACTGAAATGTCACCCAGAAATGCCTGCTTCCTGTCTTGTGTTCATGGAGACCTGGTGCTGCCCCGGAGGCTGAAGTGACTCTTAGAGTCACCTGAACAAAGGGAACCTGTCCCCTTTAGAACATGGCAACATTTACATGATCTTATGAGGGGGAAAGGAGGGGGGGAGTTGTGAGGAGGGGGGTTTTCCAGCCAAGACATCAATCCAAATTACAAAGGAAAATATAAACTTGATTGCCAAGGTGTAGAAACCAAAGAATTCTTTATATGACTAAAAGCATGAATGCTACCAAAATTTCTTTGCTCAAAGAATTTTCAGAATATTCTTCATAAAATTAATGATGCATTCAATAGTTTAGCTACAAACATGTCCGCTGACCTTCAAAAAAAATAATTGCCAGCCATTGGAAACAATCTAAATGAGCAACCATGAGGTAATGAATAAGGAGTGTTTCCAGTAAGAAAATCACAGATCATTCAGCAATGGAAAACAATGGCTATTTCTTGACCTGGGAAGTTGTTTGCCACACACTGAGGAATAAACACGGAGGTTCCAAGAGAGGATGATAGTGCCAACCAACCTTGGTAATAAAAAGGAGGCGTCACCCCCGAGGCTGAGGTGATGTGGTAAGAGGGCATTTCCTTAGATGGGATGATTACAGAGTTTTAATTACCTTCTTTATTCCAAACTGTCTTTTCAAAAGTTTCCTCCATGAACTATCTTAACTTTATAATAAGGATAAGAAGATACATTCAAAGGGAGAAATTCGTCTGTCCCCAGACCACAGCTGCCCGTTTGGATTTAGCTAAGAGCATAACGCGATGGACTTTTTAACAAGTTTTAATAACCCAGGCTTTTTAGTGAGAACATCCACTCTGAAGCCGGGACACCTCCTGTCTTTAGAGTTATAGGCTTCTCAGAGATCAAGGCGCCCTTTGCTGATTTGAACATTCCCTGGTGAGATGAAAGAGAGCGGATCCGTGGTGGGCTGGGCCGTGGGAGCGCTGGGCCTGAGACGTGCTTCCCATCTCAGCAGAGCCTGGCCAGGGCCAGGGATTAGTTAGCGGCAAGTTCCTAGGTGCCCGCAGGGGGGTTGTGGGGGAGAGGAGCCTTCGCTTTGACAGGGAAGGAGCCTACCCTTACGGAGGTGGGCAGGGTCCAGCCAGCCTCTCACAGTCCTGGTCAGGTGAGCATCCCTTTGTGCTTTGAGTCCGGTGCCTTGTTAATGGTGTGAGATGAATTGGGCTCCAGAGCTGGTCGCAAAGGATCCTGGGATGAGATATTGCTAGAGACAGAGACGGTGGGAGAGGAGAGACAGAAAGGGAAAGGAGGAAGAGGAGGATGAGGAAGGGTAGGGAGGAGGCAGAGGAAGGGGGAAGAGAGCAGAGGAGGCGACGGGAGAGGAGAGGAGAGGGTTAGGAGGAGAAAAGGCAAAAGAGAGGAAGAGAGAATCCAGCAGACAAAGAAAGACAGATGGCCGGGAGACAGAGAAAGATGGACATGGAGGGAGGAGGAAGGATGGTGGGACACAGGGAAGAAATGGACTGAGCGACAGAAAGACACACTGTGTGGACACACACAGTCACACACTGGAACGGGGACTCTGCTGAGCGGCAGCCTGCAGGGACGTAAGCCATTGGGCACATGGCTGGGTGTGCATCGCCATGTGTGGGACCCTGTCAGGCAAGCTCAGAGCTCTCCTTCAGACAGGGTAAAGTGGCTTTACCCCAGGGCGATGTTCTCCCCACTTTCATGTCTGCTACCCAAGGAATTGTTAAGGCCACAACAATCACAGCAATAATAACAGTCACAAGGTCCCTGATTCTTTCTGAGGTTTCTGGGGAGCCAAGCACAGATGATTAGGAAACCGTGCCCCAGCCAGGCCCTCTTTGCAATGCTGCTCACCCTCTGCATACATGCCTCCCGGGAACAGGGCCTCTCAGGGCACAGGATCAAAGGCTGCTAATAATGAAAGCGCCTTTACTCCCCAAAGAGTTCTGTGAGGAGAGCTAGGCCTGTCAGGATGCTGCGTCTGTCCTCCAAGAGCTCAGAAGCAGCCCAGAGAGGAGGAGGGGGAGGGGCAGAGGTCCAGACTGTGCCAGGCAGCATCTCATCACAAAGCAGAGCCCCTGGTGGCCTAGGGGTTGAGTCTCAGTGCCACCACTGCAATGACCTGGATCCAATCTTTGATCCTCGACCAGGGAGGTGACCCAAATGGCACAGCAGACCTCTCCTGTTTTGCCAGCTGCTGCCCTTGTCAGTATATTTCTGTGGATCTGCCTGTTCTGCTCCCTACTCTGTCTCTGGTGAATTCTCTAGCCCCCCATCTCTAGCCTACACCCCAGTTTGTATGTGCAAACTAATAAATAATCTTAAAAAAGACAAAGCCTGGTTTAGCACCGCCAACCCCATTTAATTCACTTTTATTCCCCCAGAAGTTGCCTCTTCCACCTCACTGCAGGACCACGGGTGACAGTCGAGTTCCCCAAAGACATCCAAAACATGGGCCACCTTCCAGTGTGGCCAGCTGCAGCCTTCCCATGTCAGTGCTTAGGGAGGCTTTCCCACTGAGGTTCATGGTGCATGTTAACACCAAACAGGAAAAAAGGGAAAAGGAGCACCTATTTCAGAATCTCAATATCACAGAGTTTGGTATGATTTTGCACCTTTATTTCATTCATTTGGCATTTCAGAAAGTTTGGCAGTGAAAATAAATCCGCTTCAGAGACTGGGAAATATTATTACTTGGGCTGCTGCCTGCAGCTCGCCCCATGGGACGGCAGCCGTCCTCCTGCAGGGGTTTCACACCCGCCAAAGATGACACGTGTTAGTTAGAAGTGTGTCTAATACTTGATTATCTGCAGCTCATGTGAGAAGATTAGATTTTGGAAGAGAAAGATGAATAACTCCCTCTTGCAGGGACAGGGGTGCATGTGGACCTGCGTGCCGATTTTATTTTACTATGAAATGGGGAGCCAGCAAGGGCCTCTTGTCTTCTTGAGTACTGGGGGGGGGGGGGGGGCGGGGACAGTCACTGAATTCAATCTCATGAAAATGCCTGCTTTGTAAGTACTGGACAGAGTTTAGCAAATGAAGACAGAGATTTTTGCAGACTTTTTGGTTTGCATCCGTCACTCGAAACCCAACCCAAAGGGTTCCCTATGGTCTCTTCCCTTTCTGACAGCTCAGGGCTGCAGCACTTAGTGGCAAGCACAGATTTTTCAGACTATCCTGCTTCCATTCCACTCCCTCAGCCACCAACCTGGGTGGCCATCAGCAATCTATGGAGCCTCTCTGAAATCACCCTTAGCTGTGAGTGCACGTAGCCAACACCTTTCTCCTAAAGTTGTTGCAATGTTGAAGTCAGCAAGTGTCTGAGCTGTGGGAGGCTATACATGGTGGCTCCTTACAAGGTGGACCTCCCCAGTTACTGGGAACACAGCCCTGAAACCACTCCTCTTGGCCCAAAATCAGGTGTGGCGCTGGGGGGCAGTGGCATCACGTAGCTGGCCCTGTCCTGATTACCCAGATCATTAATAGGTTTAATTGAATGCTAGTTGGCTCCTTACAACCAAGTCCTGCAACCAGAAAAGGAAAGCAATTTCTGCCTGCTACGCCTCCCGGCCCGGAGTCGCTCACCCACCTGATGGTTTGGTGCTGCAGGGAATCCGGGTCCGTGGCGTTCGCCGTCAGCAGCACGCTGCCCACGGAGATATTCTCCTGCCGGGTCACCATCATGGGGTCCGGGTAGAAAAGTGGACCCTCGTTGACATCCAGGACAGTGATGTGGACGGTGGCCGTGGAGCTGGGGCCGTAGGAGACGTCAGGGACGAGCGGGTCCTCGTTTTCCACTTTGATCAGCAGGGTGTGGAAGGCAGAAATCTCATAGTCCAGGGGCTGGAAGCAGAGAGAGGGGTCTCAGAATGTGACCCTGCTGCCAGAGGCAGATATTTTTGCACAATGCCCCTCTGACTCTCCACTGGTAGGGCCGGATCCAGGTTTTGTGGGCTAAGCTTTACGCAATTTGGGCTGCTCTTTAAGAAAAAGAATACGAAATAAACAAATACAAATTCAGGGAGGGGAGTGAATACCTTTCATGTCGAAGAATGTTGTAACATATCACGTGAGCCTGGAACAATCACACAGTACGGCGAGCGTCCCTCTCCCGGGGCCATGTCAGCCCTGAGGAGGCCTCTCGAGGATATTGGCAAAGGCAGCTAATAGCAGCCGCCTCGCTTCCTCCCCCGCCCCCACCCCACAGACTAAGGCAGCTGACGTCAAGGGGACCCCATCAGGAATACGGCAACCCTGCCCACCACCAACTGTCATGGATGACACTCACTTGGCCACTCTCTTTCTAAACCCCGAGAGGCATGTGAGGCAGGGGAGGGACACCTCCTGCGTGGGATGACAGGTGAGACGAGACACACTTGTTATTTCAAGTTATTTCCTAATCTGGGTCAACGAGTGGCTACTCATCGCGCCCATGACATAATGGATATCCTTGCTCGGAGGACAAGACTAGAATGAACGGAGGGAGCTGATTTACGCTCAAGCAGAAGCAAACAAACGACAGGACAGGTTGTAAGAGGCTACGGGGAAGTGGGGAGGGGGTCAGAGCCGCTGAAGGCAGGGAAGAAGCCCCGTGGGTGCAAGAGAGAGAGAACTGGGAGTCAGCGGGTCGGGGTGGAATGGCTTTAGGCAAATGAGCTTATCTTTCATAATAATTACAGTTAAGGTGCACATGGTGCACTCCCCACATGTGAGGGTGCATGTGGGGATTTTAAGAGCTAAGAGAAGTAGAGCTGTCGGTATTTAGTAGGTACCCAGTTACATTCTGGTTCCATCCGTATAATGCAAGAAGTAGTTTCCACCCCACCCTGCTCTCCGGGGCTGTGGATTCTAATAACAGATCTTCGTGCGGCCCGAGTGACGCCCAAAACATGCAGCTGGGTAAATCAGTTTCCAACAAGGGCCAGGGAGCCGCCACATTTAGAAAACAGAATTGTTCACCCCAACTAGGACATAGGAGGGTACAGACAGCTTTGGCTAGTGGGCTGTGGCGACTGTGGGCAGGACTGAGACCTGGCGTGCCCTTGTCTAGCACTGCCTTCCCCTTCTCATGCCCGGAAAATACCCCCGGGGTGTGGGGTTTCGTTTGTTAGCTCAGGAAGGCCCTCAACACACAGCAGAATTTGAGTCTGGTTTTGAGGCCAGCATGGTGAGCAGGAGGGTGAGTGACTCACAGCAGGCTGGAGAGGAGCATACCTGGGGAGAGAAGGTGGGAGAAGACCCCAGAGAAAGGGAATCTGACCTTTTCACACATAGTTTTTAAATACCTATTGGTAAAGTGTGTGTGTCTTTTTATGTTGGATCTGTATGTGAGCAAACATAAGCAGATGTGTGTATTTCTATTGAACGTGTGTGTGTATGTGTCTGTGTTGGAAGTGTAGGTGTATATTTTTACTTTAGTTGGGGTGTATATGGGAGGGATGTCCCCAGTTGGGTTCTCCAAACTGCAGGAGAGACTGGAAGCAGAGCCCGAGGCAGGTATTTGGGTACGAGGGATTTACCGGCATGAATTCTCAGAGGAGAGGGGGTGAGCAAGGATGTAGAGTCTGCTTACCCTGTTGGTTTGGGGAGCTCTGGAGCTACTTAATTGCACCACAAAATTAGTCTCCCAACAAGGCAAGGGGCTGGCCTTTTGCAGCCTGCAGTCAGGCCCCTGCTCTGGGCTCTCTCCAGGAGGTAGGCCAAACCTCCCTGGCTAGGAGTCTCCCCTTCTGGGGTGGGAACTCTGTGGAAAAGGGGGGCTGCTAGCTGTTGTAACAGGGTGGTCCCCAGGAAATGGGAAGTTCCAGGTGACTTGCCCCACCCAACCAAGGGTGAGGCTGAGTAGGGAAGAGGAAAGCTAGAGAAGAGACTGGAAGAAGGAAGAAAGAAGATGGAGAGCCAGGAGACCTGGAGGAGGTGCGTGGAGCAGAGAGACGTGTGAAGAAACTGTTCTTGACTCTTGGTCTTGGACTGGTTGAAACAGATGTGGGTGAGAGACCTGGGGGGAGGTTAAAAATGGCAGCTTTTATCTTAGTTTTGTTTTTGCTCTTTTCCTCCCAGACTTGTCTGGCTGTTTCTGACCCTTTCCTATGGGTCCCCACCAGGAGGTGGGGCAGGTATTCGGGCCTCAGTGGCCCTGCTTGGGGCCAACCCTGTTAGGCTGGGCATTTACCCATGGGGGATGGGTAACTTCAGGTACTTGATTTGCAAACTTTATTCTTTTTCTTAACTTTGTTGCACACTAATTGTATTAAGGTTTCTTTCCATTAAAGATCTTACGCACTAGAGTATGTTTTGTTTTGACGTGGCGGATGGCAGAACCTATTTAGAGTAGACAGGTTTGGGGATTCTGGGGTGTCCCTCACCCTGACCTGTAAGACTGCCAGCACTCAGGACTAAGATATGGGTAGAAAGGATCTGGGAGGCATTAGCTTTCTAGGGCTGCTGTAGCCAGGGCCAGGGGATTTCTCACAGTCTGGAGACTGGGCGTCTGCAATCCAGTCATCAGCAGGGCCATGTGTGCTCCCAGAGAGCTCTGGGGAACCTTCCTTGCCTTTTCCCAGCCCTGGTGTTGCTTGGCTGGCAGTGGTGTAATTCCTACCCCTGTACCCAGTGTCACAGGGCCTTCTCTCCAGGTGTCTGTCTCATGAACTTCTTATATAAGAAGTGCTCAGTCTCAGTGAATTTGGGCCCCTTCACCCCCTCTCTGACCTCAGTTCATTATATTTGCAATGATCCTGTTTGCAAACAAGTCACATTCACAGGTTCTGGGGATTTGCCTTCCAATGAATTTTTGGGGGAGGAGGCACAATTCAACTCCCAACAGTTGGGCATCTGAAGTCACACCCCACGCCTTACATTATATAGGTATTTGATCCTTAGTGTACACTTGCTCTGTGCCAAGAATGCTCTGTCATCTCACCTGCTTCTCTCTTTACCCTCATGACAGTAGGTGTTTTAATTCCTACTTTACAAATGAGGAAATAGGCTCAGAGAGGTTAAGTAACTTGGCCAAAGTCACACAGCAAAGTGGTCCAAAGCCGAGTTTTTGACCCAGGGAGTCTGATGAGGAAGCCTGGCCTCTAACCATAAATTGCCTTTGGTATAAATGTTGTTTCCAAAAGTGATGCTGGCTGGGACACATCCCTGTGCTCCTGATGGGTGCAGGAGGGCCATGAAAGAGGCTGCAAACTTTGTTATTGTCTGTGTTATTAGGGAAGATGAACCTGGAAGAGCTTTGGGCTGCTCTTCTCCGTCAGATATTTGATGCTCAGTTTAGATAGGCTCTGAAAGGGCAGGGTTGGAAAGAAACCAGTCTCTTCCTCCAGAGCAAACCGGGTATGGCCCAAGGCCTAGGTCTGCCGTCTCAGCAGCACTGGGTTCTATCCTCAGGGGCTATGGAATTTTGTTGGTGTAGGTGTTTGTGTGACCCATGTTGGGTCCATTGAAGCCTTCCCCCACCCCCAATGTGTCCAAGTCCTTATCCCTGAATCTAGGAATATGTCACCTTCCAGGGCAAAAGGGACTCTGCAGATGTGATTAAACTAGGACCTTGAAATGGGAAGAGGATCTTGGATGATCCAGTTGGGCCTGATAGAATCACAAAGTCCTTCAAAGAGGGAGGTGGGGAAGTCAAAGGGAAAAGACAGATAGGAGCATGGAGGCTGAAAGCTGTTTGGCTGCTGGCTTTGCAGATGGAGGGAGGGGCCATGAACCCAGGATTGTGGGTGACTTTAGAAATTTAATTTTAAATTTTTAAATTTAAATTTAAAAGACAAGGAAATTGATCCCCACCCCCAGTCCCTACCCACTCCCCACCTCCCACCCTCGGCTTCCAGAAGGAAGCAGCCCTGCGACACTTTCACTTGAGCCCTGTGAGACCTGGGTTGCTCTGTAAGATAATAAATTCATGTTCTTTTAAGCCACCAGCTTTCATTCATTCTCACAATTCCTCCTGTTTCCACACTTAGCCGCAGCGCAGGGCATGCTGCTCAGCAGTGCTCACGAGTTTCACACAAAGAATTATCCCCTGCAAGTAGCTACCTCCAGTTTTTAAGAGAATTAACTGAGACTTTACTAAGAAGGATGAAGCGTAATAATCCACAATTTGAGAGTAGATATTTATAAAACCTTCACAATTTTTAACTTAGCTGTGATGATTCCTTATCAAACGTATGAAGGATTCCATTTAAAAAGTAAGCTTGGTACTTCTAAGGTAACATACAGGTTTGAGTTTGGTGGAAACTGTAAAAAATAGGTTGGCTCCAGGGCTGTGAGGCCACAAAGACACCCTTAGCCCCAGCCTAGGGCTGATAGTTCCTTGATACCCCCCCTCCAACCCCCCCCATCGCCCAGGGGTGAGGGCATGCACCAGTCTCTGGGCCTCAAAGCTCATGGGGTGAGCAAGCAGGTGGAAGCGCCCTTACTTTGACGACGGAGAGCATCCCCTCATTGGTCTGAGGGTTGGTGTGGATCTCAAAGCTCTGCCCTGGGTTTCCGTTGATGATGGTGTAGGCCGCCCTCCATGCGCCGGTGGTGGGGTCGTCCTTGTCTTCTACTGTCAAGTTGACAATGACCCCCACGGCTCCTTCCTCCACGGTGGCTTGAAACTGCAAACAAAGCAGATGGTCACGGTCACTATTTTGAAGAAACTAAGCAGCTCTCCCCCCAAGGCCTGTGGTTGGGCACGTTATTACTTGTGTCACCTCAGTGCTTAACGCATAGGAACAGAGGAGCCTTCTGCTCCTCTCAGCCCTCCCTGCACCTAGATGAGGCCCACAAGATGAAACTTTTCTATAGCATGTGGGCAGAAGTGAGGCTTGCTGGGGCTGGGCTGCCCACCTGCATGCAGATGACCCCCCAGATCGGGGGCCTGAGAGGGAAGAAGCCTGGGTCATGAGGCACTACATGTTGGGGAGCAGCCTGGTGGGCAGGAGACCCATCTGGAACTGTTGTTGAATGAGACACAAACCTTCCTGAGTGGCATATGTGTTTGTGCTTGTTTGGGGCCTCCCCTCCCCTAAACAACAAGATAACCAGATAATAAGAGCCCCGCTGCTGGGAGACAGGCACTGGGGTGCACCCAGAGCCTCTGCTCAGTCGTACCTCTTCTCTGATGAAGAAAACCAATTTCATCCTCCCACCCCTGCCCACAACTATTAATGGTATGGCTTCGAAGAAAACATTTGTTAAGGAATCATATAAATCAATTGTGTGGCATCTTGTTGCACCTGTATTTTCATTGTAGTACATCTCAAATACTTGTTGCAAGTAGGTGTGGTGAAAATAAATCAAGAAATGAAAAATTGGTTTCCCACAGATGGAGAATTCATGAGCCATCATTAGCACATTCCTTTGAACTGGAAGCGTAAAGTATGATTTTGGTGCTTACCTCTGACATGCTACAGGTGAATAGTAATCTGTTTGCAAATATTTTATAAACAAGCAATACCAATAAGCTGACAAGAAGAAGAAATATCCTGGAATTTCAATTAGTGGGAAAGTGAATCTAGAGACAGTGAGACGATGTCAAAAAGCCTTCGTGTTCAAAGAGAAGTAATTTGAGAAATGAGGTTTCAGAAGCAGGGACTGATTAATTGACTTGCAAATCATTAATCATAAGATTTGCTCTTGATGCCTTGGAGGGAATGGGGTGGGGACAGGAACTAATTTGTCTATCACACCTCAGTTATTTCCCTTCCATTAAAGGGGCGCTGGGAAATTCTTAAGCATGCAGGGTGGGAAGTGGCTGGTGTGTGAAGGGACAAGGAGATGATGTCACAGATAGAAAAGCTCCACAAGGTCATTGGTTTGACCGGACTCCTCTGATTGCTGTTGGAGTAAGTGCTGTCTTCTATTTTGCCCTCCTTCGCACAGAGGTTGGAGAATTCCGGAGCTGGGAATCTAGACAGGAGGTTCTCAACCCTGTCTGCTTGTGAGAATCTTTTCAGAAGCTTTTTATTTCCTAACTAAAAATTTTTCACATTGGTTCTTTTGCCCCTCAAATTGATTAACTTGTCAGTCATTTACAAAATGACATAAATTTGGGAGTACACCTTCACCCCACCATATGCTCACATGCTTCACTTACTCTCCACCAAAGCGTGAGGGCTGACATTCCATTGTCAGGGGCATTTTAAAAACACTGCTGAAAAAAAAAGAAACTGGTTCCTATTACAGTTCAGGTGGTTTGGGACATGGCTGGAATTTAATATTTTCTTAATTTGTCTGGAGAATTCTAATATACAGTTCTGGATGAGGGGCAGGATTGAGTCACGTCAACAGTGGGAAGAGCAATGAAAGAACCCAGCCCTGCCCGAGCTTCAGTTGAGGAGCCTGAGGTGTATCTGGGCTCGGCAGGAAGGCGTTCTGTGATCAATTACTTCTGTCTGCCATGTGTCCTGGAGCAGACTTAGTGGCACAAGTGCTATCTAATCCCTTAGGGCTGCAGATGAAGAAGTAGACACAGAGCAGGAAGGAAGGCAGGGAGGAAGAAAGGGAAGAAAGGAAGGCATTTTGTCCAAAGTTGTTTTGTGAAATAAAGGTCATAGCCAAGTCTGTAGGATTATAGCCATTTCTGCTTTCCAGAAGTTTCGTGACTCATGCCCACTCAAGATCCCCATTACTTCACCCCTTGCCACAGTGCAGAGCTAGAGACCAGTGCTCTGATCCCACAGGTCTCAGTGGACCTCAGCTCACAACCTGCCCTCAGGGCTCTTCTCACATCTGTACCTTGGAGAGCAGGTGGGCGATTATGCGAATGTGGCAAAGGCCAAGATGTGTGGATGTAGGGAACTGCCAGTCAGGCAGGAAGGCTGCTACATTCAATACAGCATGAATGAGAAGTTGCTTAGTTAAAGCAGATCAGTGCCACATTGTTAAGATGAAGAAAGACTCTATAAGGACAGTTGATGACTTGAGGAGGAGGAATGCTCTTTGTGCATCTATCTTGTTCATAGATCTAGCACCAGCTTTTTCTCTGAGAGCAAATGTGAAGGGATAAAGTTATATAAAATTGAGACTAATGAAGATTGGCTCATTAACTGATGCCTGGATCAGCCATTTGCCTGCATGTTCCAGAAGAGTAGGGATGGCTTATTCCCCAGAACATCCCCAGAAGGTCACATTATGACTTTTGTGGACCTTAGGCAAGTTTACCTTCACTGGTCTCTCCCACTATAGTTGATTTTCACAGCCTTTAAAACTTTCATTTTTTTTCTGGCGTGAGGACAAATATCAAAATTTTCTTTGATACCAAAGTGATTTAAAAGATAACTGATTTTAGGATGGATGGATGATGAGTGAATGAATGATTTTGTAAAAGCAATACTTCAGCCAGGTCCAAGGGATATAAATCTGTGCAATTTTTCATGTCTGCAACACCTACCAAGAGGGCTGGCACAGAATACATTTTAGTGTAGAGCAAATGAATCCAAGTGAAATGAGAAGATGGTATTGCTTTAGGAACTTTCAAAGGGTGTGTTGTGGCCACGATGTACCTACCATCCATCCACCCACTCTCCATCCATCCATCCATCCATCCATCCATCCATCCATCCATCCATCCAACTAATATTTGGTGAGTGACTTCTGTGTGCCAGGCACGATGCAGTGTTAAGTCCTTGCGACACACTAATAAACAAAACAGATATATCAATGTATAATTATAAAAATGTGTTAAATGCTAGGAAAGATATAACACAGTTCTTGAAGGGGTTAAAGGGGGAGGGTACCTGACCCAGGTTGGGGAGGTGATTAAGGAAGAATTCCTTGAGAGCTTAAAGGAGAGAGGATTGAGCAGTTAAAGGGAAGACCGTGTATCTGGCATCTGCGACACTTGTGCAAAGACTGGTGGTGGAGAGGGCGTTTGTGTAACAGGGAAGGGTTGTGACTAGATGCAGGAGTGGGGTTGTTTGCTGTTGACTCCTGGGGAGTATAGTATCCGGTCATGCAGGGTGTTGTGGATTCTAGAAGGGCATTTGGAATTTACCTTGAAAGCAAAGTTGAGTCTAATCAAGGAACTGGATTATGTTTAAATCTACTCCTGAGAGAATTCAGAAAAAAAATCTTTAAATATAGAAAACATTCAACACAGTTATTGCAGTCTTTGTTCAGATCATTATTTGATTCTTGCATAAACTATAAAGCCAGTTTCCTTGAGCATCCATTTAGAAACTCATTATTGCTTAATTAAATACTCATTCTATTAATTCTATTCAATGTTTTAACCCCATTATGTAATTCAAGAATGGAAAATTAAATAGATTAAAATGAAATAGTACCATTTTATATTTCTGTTGCAATGCTCACTTTGTGATTTAAAAACAATAGACAGACATTAATTTACCACATGAGGGGGAGGGAATTATTGATTGCAGCATTACTTTCTTTAATTGGAAAAAACAGATAAAGTTACTTTTCTGTTAAACCGTGTGGCAAATCAAATACCAGAAGCAAAATGTATTTTCACACAATCAGTATGGGCGATTGGCTTGGGACATGCCGAGGCTCACTAGCTCTCTCCTCTAAATTCAGAACTGGGCTATTTCCTTTGACAAGGTGGGGTGAGTTCTGTGACCTACATTTGGGAAGAACCTGCCTGGACTTGCCACAAGGTTATGCATCACCAGGGGAAGTGGGCTTGCAGCCATCACCAGGAGAGAGTGCTCGTTGTCTTAGGGCAACAAGTTGGTATTTAGGGTAAGGTTAACCTAGAAGATGGATGTAAGGTTGATGTTCAGGGTAAGATTAACCCAGAAGATGGATATAATCATCAGGGGGCTAGGAAGCTGCTGGTGGGGAAGAAGCGATGGCAGGTGACTTTCAGAACCCCCCCATCCCTGGCCCCCCTCCCCCCAGCACATGCAAGCTCTCATGCTGTACAACTGAGTCCAGGCTCGTGGGCTGCCCAACCTGAAGTCCTGAACTGTTTCATGGAGAGCGAATGCTGAACCTGTGAAGCTGGGATATAGTGATCCAGACCCTGGCACTGGAATATCAAAGAAATTGCCAGAAAGTCATATAGACCTGACATTTCTGTTTGGGAGGATAAAAGGGCAAGGAAGAGATGACTCGCAGACTTGCAGAAATTTAACTTGGCAGACACTTTCATGAGTCATATTTATGTATAGGACACAGATTAGGGGAACAGTCTATTCCCTGGCTGATAGGCTAGTGGGTAGAAACTGTGATTGATATAATACATTTAAGGATCTTGGCACATTGCCTGGCATGTAGTAAGGACTCAGTATTTGTTAGTGTTGAGGAGGAGGAGGATGGATTTCATCATGTATTACATGAAATGCTTATTAATAAATGAGAGAATGTGGCTTGCTTTCCCCCTCCCTGCCCTGTAGTGCCTTTTGTTCTGATTATAGTGATCTACGTAGAATCCTCACTTCCCTGGGTAGGTGTGGAAGAAGCTCCATTCTTAGGTTGTGTACACCTACTGTTCACACACTGGAATTACCAGAGAAATCCAACATGCATAGAGAAGCAGGAGTGGACACACTAAAAGACAAACAGAGAAGAAAGAGTTGGGGCCCTCAGAGAAAAAGACATATTAGGCAGGGCCCCTGGTCTCTGACTGGCTTCCTGCTCCTGCCCCTGT